AATTGTGAGAAAAAAGTCAGTCAGAATTATGACTTTTCTGTCATAATATACTGAATTAAAGTTTAAAAATCAGTTAACTTTTTTTTAGTTTTTCAGTGGCCCTAATCCTCTTCCGTAATTAAGGCTCCGAACTTCCATATCAATGTGTTTTTTGCACCATGATTTTTCTCCCACACTGTTTACATTTGATCACTGATCCACTTTATGGAATGGAAATGTTTATTTAAAAGTTGTCTAAGTACACTGTGTTAGCAAAGGGTGTAGGAAAGTATAGTTAGTCTTATCTTTGGCTTGACCCTGATGTTCTGGCACCTATCCACTTTCGGCCACCCCACAGTGTACATTGGTTATTATCTGGCCACCCTTATAAAACTTTTGTGGCTACTCCTCTGCATAATATTACAATACATTGGATTATCTCCTCCTGAATGCAAATGTTTGTGGATGATGTAGGCAATGTTAGGCAGAAAATGTATATGATCCTCATAAAGTTGAAATGCTACAACCTGGAAAAATGTTAAGAGCAATTATTAGATTGCCTTGGGCCAGGGAGACATAAAAGGACCTTGCCAAGATCTCCCAAAATGTAGATCTTGAACAGTGTCTAGATGCAGGTGCCAGTATTTGTTGAAAGGAGCCAAGCTAAGGAACGGTGGGGAACCATGCAACACAGTAATGGAGAAACCATGAATCTTTCATTACGGGTTCCATGAAGGACTTTTGTACTGAGCCTCTTCCAGTTCAACCTGGTTATTTATGACGACTGTACAAAATACCAAGGTTGTGAAGTTTGCAGAAATGCACGTGAATGACAACAGATGAGGTGGACCACCAAAGTGTTGATGTATGAATAATCTTTTTATTAAAATGGGGAAGACATGAAATTATATTTGACAGAAGGAGGAATAGATGCCTTATCTCTACATATACTAGGGATAGCTGTGGAGGTTGTTATAGGCTTCAAGTAACTTTATCTAATGACTTCAAGTGCAAATGCTTAAACACATAAACACCTCAAGTGGAGAGTGAACTCTTCCATCCTGGGTAAGAAGATATAAAAGCATCCCCATTTCCCCAGTAGTAATGCTTGCAGAACTGGGGAGCTCAGTTCTGACCTCATTCTACAGATGTTTGGTGGGGAGTTTTCTTACCTTCTTTATTCTTGTGGTGATACAGCTGCTCTGTCGGAGACGTAGGGTTGGGATGGCTGCATTAGAAGACTGTGGGAAACAATTTACTCTTCACATCAGACAATACTACCAGATGTAGGAAGAAGGCCTCCTGCATCACGAAGGTCCCCACACAAAATGTTTGCTTCTCTCGCTTTTAGGCATGAGGCTGAGGAGCATCAGGAGCAGAACCACCAGACTAAAATGCAGCTTCTACTGCAAAGCTGGAGGACATGCAACCCTAGCAATTGGTGCATTTATGTAATTGTAGTGTACTCATGGTAATTAAGTTTATTGAGTGATTATGTTGATCTTCTTTTCTCCACTTATATTTCTCTATTCATCTGATACTCAAAAGCATAATTTCTCACAGGACCTGCTACTAACACCACACCCTCAGCCGTTTAGTGGAGTCCACTCTCCAGCTGGTCCGGCCTGTTTAAGCAGCCCAAGCAGGACTAAACAGTATCACATCACTTTACAATTCAATGAACATTTGCAGCTCTAGCATTAGAAATAATGGGACGGCTGGCCACCTAAAATTCAGAATACCTAACACAACATGTTTTGAAATCCTTTTCTGTATCATGTTGATTTTTTAATGATATTCAATTTTTTTCATGATTTTTGTATATTGAGAATTTGTTTTGCTGCCAAATTTGCCTCAGAACATTTTTTTTAAGAGACAGCTTCCTACAGTAAATAGATTGCTTTTTGGTTAAAATGACTGAAAAACGTTTAAATTAATGTGATACATTACATCCAAGGTAATAAATGGCAGACTATATTCAAAAGCAAGCACACTCGAAAGGAACACTTTAGTTTGCACAAGGACATTGTTGTACTTGACATTTCAGCATTTAGATATTAGGGGAACCAAGATGACCCTTATAAATATATAATTTACATAATGTATAGAAAGACTGTTTTGTCAAATAAAGAAAAGTTATAGGTTAAAATAGAGGGAATATTGAAATTTCCCTACTCATCTTTCAGAAGTTTCAAAACACATTTACAGTAAATTACTACATTGTTTGAACTGAAAAGGAAAATTAACTAACTTAAACATAAAAAGCCAGAATGTGAGTTTTTTTTTATATAAAGATCTGTCCAACTTCCATTATTGTCATATTTGACTGTATATATCCACTACCAAATAAAATAAATTGGTTTTGCCTCAGAACTGTAGCTATAAACTAGCAGGAGATCTTTAAAAAATAAAAAGTGTACTTTCACCACATCATCTCTGTATTCAAATCATCTTGCATTCCATATCTTTTCTGTAGGGAATGCCATTATTATTATTTTCAAAACAAATCCATTGCATGCAGCTGTCAAATCCAATCCAATCCAATCCACTTTATTTATATAGCACGGTTTAAATAAACACAAGGTTTCCAAAGTGCTGCACAAAAAGATAAAATAACTAAAATAAATAAAAGTAATAAAATAAAATAAAAGCACTGCCCGCACAGGATCAAGTAAACAATGTAATTCAAGATCTATGGCTTGTATTAAAGGGCAGATTTGGTTTATTTCATATCAGAAATAAGCAAGAGGAAAACAACCAAGTGACATTTAGTAGCCTTCCTACATCAGACATACCACACTAGCTACTTTCTTAATCTGCACTTAGATTTTAAGACTGGCATTTAGTTTGCAC